ATATGTTTTACTATAACTTTTGAGTAAAATAATATTTTTAATAAAAAATTGTTTTTAAAATGTATTAAATTTAAAAAAAATTGAAAAATTTAACTTAATTTTAAATTTTGAATATCTACTTTTTATTTAAAACAAAAATTTATCTAATAAATTATAATATAACAAAAAATATGCAAATATAATTTTAAATTTAATATTTTATAAGACATATATGAAATATATAAAATTTTGTGATAGTTTTATCTTTGAGCCCTAAACTTTGAAAACAATTCTATTTTGATCCCTTATTTACTATGTGAGATGTTAGTTGAAGTCATCACATAGAGATAGCTAGCATTTACCATCAATTTAGATGGTTCTATAAACTAAAGGACCAAAATAGAATAACTATGGGCAATTAGGGATTCGATTAGAACTATTTAAAGTTTAGGGATCAAAGTAGAATTTAAGTCAAAATTTAGGAACTACGAGTGCTATTAACTCAATTATATATATAAACTAGGTTTTTATGCCTCTACTTTGCACGATTAATTTTATAAGATAAAATCATGCAAATTAAATCATCACAACAAATGTGCACAGGAAATAGCAATATGGTTTCAAGATTTGTACCAACAAAAGTATAATAATTTATTCATTAAAATGTATAATAATTTGTTTTTTAGTGCATGAAATTGAAACATAAAAATGTTAAACTAAGCTATCTATGAAAATATACCATTAAAAACCTCTTTGTACACAATGTTTTTTTAGATGATATTTAAAGCTATCATTATCATCTAAAATCACAATTCTTAACCCTAATGGTGATGTCACATGAAAAAGGGACATATACAATTGACCATGACTAAAAGCTAGTTTCGGCAAATATAGACCAACATATTTCAATGATTGTCCTTGACTTTCATTAATTGTCATTGTATAACATGGCTTCAATGGAAACTGCCTTCATTTTAGAATAGATGGCCATCTTGTTTGTTAAGAACTCATCAATATCCTTGGAATTAAAACTTTGGATCCTTTATTGGTTCTAGACATTATTTTACCTTCAGCCACCCAATCACTCAATTGAGTAATAATCAAGCATGAACAGTTACACATTCCCAAGCTCGAATTCATATTCTTTAACAGTATAATAGCCGTACCAATCTTTAACTTTAACAATGACAAGGCATATCAAAGAAATCCAAAATATTAAGTAACTCAGTTGGATACATATCATTTTGTTCTTCATTTTCTATAGAACCTTATATATATCATAACTCCTTCTATAAATTCTCATTTCACCTTCCAATAAATTTATCATACATTCCTTAATCTCATGTACAATTTCATTAGAATGAGTGAAAATTGCCCTTTCAAAAAGGAAATTTACATCATTTTGTCTCTTATAAAAATTTGGATAAGTAGCATCAATTACTGCATCTATTGGTCTTTCATTCGTGTTGACAATAAATTCTTTTGGAATTTCAATCCAACATGGATCAAGTTTTTCGTGTCTACAAATTGCTTATGCTTTACCCTTTCCAATGTTTAATAACCAATGATTGAATTTAACATTTTCTTTATTCATATTACCATTATCATCATAATCTGATACTTGCATGTTAGTTTTCAAAGTGAATATAGTGCAATTTCTCCTTAAGTATGATCTGTTAATACAAGATTACCATTTCTTAGTGCTTGCCTTTTGGGATAAATATTTGCCTGAAGTCACCTCCAAGAAACATCATTTTCAACCAACGGGTTTGTTCTTTGTACTTTCATTCTTGAATTCAATAATGTCTCTAAGTGTTTTATCGAAGACTTCAAAAACAAATCTTTGCATCATTAGGGCCTCATCCCAAAAAATCAGACATGTTTCAGACAATAAATGAGCAATGTTTGTATTATGCTTTATTCCGCAGTACTATTTTCAAAAAATCCAATTGAATATCCAATCGACTATGTGCTGTTCTACACCTGGTATCAATAAAGATGCAATTCCTACAAAAAGAGAATTGACAATTAAGAATACAAATATAAACATGTAAAACAATAATTTAGTATTAAATTACATCAAGGTTATTAAATTTTTAATAAAAAAGTACTTGAAAAAGCTACGACTAATGCAATTTTTCTATGGGATCTTAACTTTGCCAATATAGTTTTGTACAAAAATGGTTTTTTTTTTTGTGCCTCTATTAAGGGTGATAATGATTCAAATCAAATTGAATTTAGTTTAGGTTTTTTTATAATGCAGAGTATTATAAATTTTTAAAATTCAATCTAAATCTAAACTAACCTTTCGTATGATCTAATCCGAATTTTATTGGTTTGATCAATTGATTTTTAAATTTATTTTTTAAATATTTTTTTATATATTATTTTAATATAAATTTTTAATATATTTAAACAGTTTTAGATATAAAATAATTATTTTTATTTTATAAAAATTTAATATATATATAAGCTAATAAAAATATAGAATTCAGTTTGGTTAGGTTTTTTTTTTTTTTTTTTTTTTTTCACTTCTCAATCTGAACCTAATATATATTGTCATAACGTATAGATCTGTGAACTTATCGCTAGACATGAATTAAAAGAGTCACTGCCAATATTTTTTGTTAAGGTGTGATTGCCCATCTAACAGAATCTATCATATTTAAAGAGGAGTCCCAAGATTGATATATGTATCTTTAAATAATAGATTTTAGTTCATGAAATCAGATTTTAGGTTCGAAAATATATTTTCGCGTGAGAAAAGTTATAGCATTATCACAACACCTATCCAAAGGATGGTACAAATTTGATTTTAAATTATCTAAGCCTTAAAATTTCTTATAATTTTACTAAATCATTTATTATTGAAAATTAGTCATAAATTTGTTCCAATAGTTTAGTAGCAATTTAAGATAATTTTCTCACCTTAGGAATATTCATGGAGATTAGTATCCTACTCTAAAGAGGCTCAGTCGTTGGGTTTATTAATATATTTTTATTCAAGAAAATAATTAATAAAATCTTTCAATAGTTTGATAAGATTTATTTTGATGCAGATCTCTCAATAGTTTGGTAAAATTTTTTGTAAATTTATTTTTAGAAAATGTATTAAATATTTCAATAGTTTATTAATATTTAATTTAAATGCAAATCCTTTAATAGTTTGGTAGAATCAAAACAAAATATTTTATTAATAACAATTTTTTATAAAAATTGATTTATGATATTCTCTAATAGTTTGGTAAAATTAATAAAAATTTAAATTCATAAAAAATCCTCCAATAGTTTAGTAGGATTCATGAATTTATTTTAGAAACATTTTTTTGGTTATTATTTTTAAATAAATAAATAAATAAATAAAATAAAATTCATAAAAGCATTTTTTAAAAATAAATAATAAAATTTTCAATTTACAATAATGAGTAAAATAATAATTAAAGATGAAAATAATAATAATAAAATAAAAATAAAATAGAAAAAATCAAAACAAATCAAATCAAATATTAAGATAATATTAAAAGAAAAGCTACATCAAGTTGGCTTGAAGCGCACTTCACGTGGGTCATCAGTTCACACGAATTACTTTCAAAAAATTTATAACTAAAAAGTTATTTTTTTTATTTAGTCACCTGTTTATTGAAGAAATCAAAAATTGATCTTTGAAAATAAAGTTTAAGAATTTCTTAAGCTTATAAAGCATAGTGAGTTAAGCGTGGTAGAATAGTTGAATAAGATGCCAGCTAGAATTTTACTATTGTCACTCTTGCT